AAGTGCATGCCAGTAAATACAGTGGACACCTCGGAGTTAAGAAAACCCGATGGGCATTGTCTGACGTATACTGGTGGCCAGGGTTGGTCAATGAAGTCCAGCAGTTTGTTACACGTTGCGACACGTGTGCACGTAATAAACCGAGCATACAAAAACCCGGTGGTTTGCTTCAACCGCTCGAAATCCCTGACGAACCTTGGGAGAGTGTATCAATGGATTTCATCACTGATCTCCCTAAAACACGAGATGGTCATACAGCGATCCTCGTCTTCGTGGATCGTTTGACCAAGATGGTGCACTTCGTGCCTACAACCACAGACGTATCAGCAGCAGATACGGCTAAGTTGTTTGTTGCGCATGTTTTCCGTTTACATGGTTTGCCCCGTGTGCTAGTGTCTGACCGAGACCCTCGTTTTACAAGCCGTTTCTAGCAGACGAGGTCATTCGTCTGCATTCCACCCTCTAACGGATGGGCAGACCGAGCGCACAAATCGCACTCTTGAACAAATGCTTCTTTCGTTTATTGGCCTAACACAGTATGATTGGGATGAGCTGTTGCCAGTCGTGGAATTTGTTGTCAACAACTCAGTGCATGAAAGCACCCACGAAAAACCCTTCATCTTAAATTTTGGTCGGCACCCCACAACACCTGCTACGCATGGGGTCAGTGGCTTGAAAATTCCAGCCGCTAAGGACTTTATTGGCAAGCAGAAAGAAGCGCTTAAGTCTGCTCGTCGTTGGTTGCAACTTGCCCAACAACGCCAAAAGTCTTATGCCGACATGAAACGCCGGGACGTCTCTTTTCAAGAGGGAGACAAAGTTTTGTTGAGTACGTAAAACATTTGACTCAAATTACCTGGGGCGCGAAAGCTGTTTTCTCGTTGGATTGGGCCATTCGAGGTCATCAAGCGGGTTGGGGCGGTGGCTTATAAGCTTAAGCTACCAGACACCTTGCAGATTCACAATGTCTTCCATGGGTCTCTGTTAAACAAGTATGTTGCCGACGGCACATACTTACCACCACCAACCATCGTCCTGGGTGAGGAACTATATTATGAAGTCGAGCGTGTGCTGATGCACCGTGGTCGACAACGCGGCCGTAAAACAAAACGTGAGTTCCTCATTAAGTGGAAAGGCTACGGGCCTGAACACAATTCTTGGGAGCCAGAGGAACACTTGACTAAAACAGCAGTTCAAGCTTACATGGAAGACTTGGCTCTCCGAGCAGCCCCACAGCCACTGGATGGTGTTGACCCTGGCCGTAATGTGGTGCGTTGTGCTCGCAGCACTCGCCCCAAGAAGCACTCCAAGGCAACGGGGACGTTGCCAACAGGAGGGGGAGGAGTGTAACGCATCGCCTTCCTACCCTACGAACAATCCTAGCTATGACTCTCTAAAGCGCTACCTACGTAAGGTAGCGACTTACGGGAAGAGAAGGTTGGAGGAGATGAAGGGTGATTGGTCCACAATTGTGGACAACCACCCACTAAAAGACAAGCATGGTTGGGAACCAACCCAACCTCCACATTGGTTGGAATTCCAACCAATAGCAATTGAACATTTCTGTTACATGTTACAACATGTAACAAAACAGTCCTTATTACAATTGTTTTGCTCTCATTGGTTTGCTTTCCAACCATTGTGTCACCTAAGCAAGCTCACCCCTAGGAGCTCCTTGCCCTTGTTGCCATGGAGGAAGTGGAGCTCCCCAAGGAGGTCTAGGAGGGGTGCGAGCTAACCAGGCTCATTCTCAACTCCCAACTTCCAATGAACCAAAATGGAAATGGGATTTTCTCTCTAAGTACAAGACTTTTCCCTCACAAGTGCTCTATGCTCCAACTACTCTCTTGGTGAAGCTACTCCATCACTCTCAAAGCTTCAATTACCAAGTCTTCAAGACTTATAAGCCTATTATAGACCCTTTTGTGGGCATTGGTTATAAGCCCGGGTCTTCATTGTTTCTTTATAAGCCTGTGTTACACCCACCGTCAGATCCCGCCCCCCCACCGTCAGAACCCGCCCCCTACCGTTAAAAACCGCCCCCCCACCGTCAGAAACCGCCTCCCACTTTCAGATGCCACCCCACCCCCGACTCCAGCTCCATTTCCAGCGAGAGGCGGAGGAGGTGGGGTGTTGGTCCGTGCGGGACGGGTCGGGTGGGGGGGGGGGGGGGGGGGGGGGGGGGGGGGGGGGTGGCAACCTATGGGGTCGAGGTGGCGGGGTTGGCGGCTCATGGGAGGGGGAGTGGCGGGGTTGGAGGCTCATGCGGGGGAAGGATTGGGGGAAAGGGGTGGTGGGCGGATGTCAGCAGCAACCGCCAGCGCCAGCAGCACCTGCTGCCGCCCAACACTACCTCACGGTGGGGGTGGAGTGTTAAGATTAGAGTTGCAGCCATGGGTAGTGAGAGTGGTAGAAGAGACTGTATTAAAAAGAGTGTCGAGCTACATTTGAAGAGAAGAATTGAAAACCCTAATTGAACTTAAGGTTTGTTCAGTAAAGGAACAAGCCCCAAAATGAACCTTCACTGAACCTGAAATGAAACAAAGTCGAAAACTGGCCAGAAATTTAATGCCAGAAATACATGCAGAGCGGAAACTAGCCTACTCCAACATGGAATGTGCGGGGATGGCTGGAGTGCCAGCTGCAGCATCACCCGCCTCCTCACCTCCTCCTCCTCCGCTGCTGCTGCTGTAGGGGGCGGTTTAGGGGGTGGCGTGAGTCCAGCTGCAGCATCAGCCGCCACTTCCTCCTCTCACCCCGTGCCTCCTGTGCCTCCCATGCGTTCACTGCCGTCTCGTGCCACCCGTACCTTGCTGTCCGCCCATGCCACCCATACTTTGCTGTCCGCCCGTGCCACCCGTACCTTGCTGTCCGCCCGTGCCACCCGTACCTTGCTGTCCGCCCTTGCCACCGGTACCTTGCTGCCCGCCCTTGCCACCGGTACCTTGCTGCCCGCACCCGTGCCTCCCATTCATTCGGTCCTGCCCGTTCCCGTGGCTCCCATGTCTTGCTGTCGGCCATGTCTCCTGTACCTCCCGTACGTTCACTGCCGTCCCGTGCCACCCGACGTTGCTGTCCGCCCGTGCCTCCCATTCCGCATGTGTTCCCCGTGCTTGGCCCGTGCCCGTGTTGCTGCCCGTGTCCATTCGTGCCTCATCCCGTGCCTTGCTGCCAGTATTCGTTCGTGCCTCCCATTGCTACTTATATCCGTTCGTGCCTCTTGTGCTGCCCGTACCCATTTGTTCTTCCCGTGCTGCCCGAGTCCGTTCGTGTTTCCCGTTGCTTCCCGTATTCATTCATGCCTCATCCTGTGCATTGCCGTGGTATTCCTCGTGTAGCTGCTGCCCTGTCTGCCGTGTCTCTTACGCCGCCTAGCTTAGGCTTACACAAACGCTTACGCCCGTGTTGCTGCCCGTGTCCTACGTCGTGCTGCCCGTGTCCTACTCGTGCCCCACCCGTGGTATGCCTCGTGTAGCTGCTGCCCGGTCCGTCGTGTCTCTTACGCCGCCTAGCTTACGCTTACTCTTACGCTTATGGCTCCTCTCCCCTTCAGCACGCACACCAGCACCTGCTGCGGGGCGTTCAACCACAGCCGGGCACCTGTTTCCACCGCGGTGGTCCAGCTGCTGCTCGGTGCCTGCTGCTCATCGGGCCCCCTTGCTGGTGTTCCCACGCCCGGTGAGGGGGGTTTCCAGGTGTACCCCTTCAGGGGGTGTTGTTACACTAGCTCCTGCTGCATGCAGTTATGGGGTGTGTTAGAATATATATCATTCTATATAACTCCATGTAGTTCTAGTTGTAGTGTAGTTATGCAGTTTCCTATAGGTGGAGAACCTTTCTTTTGTTTTTTTCTATATGTACCTTGTGTGCTATAGTGAAGTCACTCATTCCCAAATTTTCTTGGTGAGAACTCTCTCAACATGATTGGCCTAGGCTCCAAGCCTAGGCCCTTAGTAAACCCCAGTTCCTGCGTTAAGTTCATACGTTAACAGTTAGTCGTACTGGACGGTGCGTTGTTGTACGCGAACTCCAGCATCGTGAGTGAGTTTTCCAAGCGAGCGGGGTCGAGGTAGTTCGTGCAGATGAGCTGCCCCCATGGTCTGATTGGTCCGCTCAGTTTTCCCGTCGGTTTGTGGGTGGTAGGTCGACGAGGACTATAGACGCGTGCCGTACTGCGCACATGTTTCCTCCAAAACTTCGACGGTCGCTGACGATTGCAGACGGGGTTTCGTGAAGTCGCACAACCGTTGAGAAGAACAGGTGCGCAGTTTCTTCCGAAGTGATTGTCATGCAACAGGGGGCGATGTGTGCCATTTTCGTGAGGCGATCGACGACGACGAGTATAGCGTCGTTGAAGGACGCGCCAGCTGGTAGCCCCGTGACAAAATCCATTGTCACCTGTTGCCACGGTCGTTCGGGTGGCTCAAGGGGCTGCAGCAGGCCGGCTGGGCGCTGACATGTTGACTTGATGACTTGGCACATTCTACATGAAGACACATAACGCTGCACGTCAGATGAAGAGTCAGGCCAATAATATTGACGGTGTAGTATTTTCTGCGTCTTGTTTACTCCGGAATGTCCAGAGAGATTGCAATCGTGGACCTCCTGGATTAGCAGTTCGCGTAGTAGGCGGTAAGCGGGTACCGAAATCCAGACCGTTCCAGCCATTAGGTAATATTCTCCTCTCCGCGTCGTCGCCTGCTGGTGACTACCAGTCGTGAAGAACGGGTCCGTCGTGTAGCCGTGGGTGAATGGCTCCGAAAGGAGCGGGTTAAAATGGGTGATTAATACTGCAGCGGATTGAACTGTCGGGCGGGTCAGGGTGTCGGCAATGTTATTAGCCCCCTTTTTGTAGGTGATGCATTAGTTAAATTGGGACTCCATGTAATTGAGCCACCAGATTTGTCATGGGTTGAGGTTGGGTTGCGCGCGGAGGTAATGTAGCAATTTGCGGTCTGTGTGAACGGTGACGTCGTCGCCCGTCAGGTAGCAGCGCCTCCATGTCACCTCTCCGTCGCCTTCCCGTCACCTCACCGTCACCTCCCTGTTGCATCCCCATCCTCTCCCCGTCGCCTCCCCATAACCTACGCATCGCCTCCCCATCCCCTCACCGTCGCCTCCCCGTCGCCTCCCCGTCGCCTCCCCGTCGCCTTCCCGTCACCTCCCCATCACCTCCCCGTCGCATCCCCGTCCCGTCCCCGTCGCCTACCCGTCGCCTCCCCGTCACCTTCCCGTCGTCTCCTCTTCGCCTTCCCGTAACCTCCCCGTTGCCTCCTCGTCTCCCCCCCCCCCCCCCCTACGTCACCCGCGCCCAGTCCTCCACCCGCACCCGGTACGTCACTCACTCCCCGCACCCAGTCCGCCACCCGTACCCCGCACATGGTCTGCCGACCGCACCCCGCACCCAGTCCACCACCCAGCACCCTGTATGCTACCCGCACCCCGCAACCCTCAGGCTCCCCGCACCCAGTGAGGCAACCCACGTCCCCCCCCAGATAGAAGGCCCTGCAGCCTTCCCGTCACCTCCCCGTCACCTCCCTGTCGCATCCCCGTCCTCTCCCTGTCGCCTCCCCATAACCTACGCGTCGCCTCCCCCATCCCCTCACCGTCGCCTCCCCGTCGCCTCCCCGTCGCCTTCCCGTCACCTCCCCATCACCTCCCCGTCGCATCCCCGTCCCGTCCCCGTCGCCTACCCGTCGCCTCCCCGTCACCTTCCCGTCGCATCCCCTTCGCCTTCCCGTAACCTCCCCGTTGCCTCCTCGTCTACCCCCCCCCCCCCCAACCCCCTACGTCACCCGCGCCCAGTCCTCCACCCGCACCCGGTACGTCACTCACTCCCCGCACCCAGTCCGCCACCCGTACCCCGCACCTGGTCTGCCGACCGCACCCAGTCCACCACCTAGCACCCTGTATGCTACCCGCACCCCGCAACCCTCAGGCTCCCCGCACCCAGTGAAGCAACCCACGTCCCCCCCCAGTTAGAAGGCCCTGCAGCCCCCAACTAGAAGGCTCTGCAGCCCCCAGCTAGAAGGTCCCGCGCCCCCCCCAGCTAGAAGGCCCCGCGGGCCCCCAGCTAGAAGGCCTCACGGCCCCCACCTAGAAGGACCCGCGCCCCCTCAGCTAGAAGGCCCTACGCCCCCTCCTCCCCCCTCCCCCCCCCCCCCCCCCCCTCCCCCGAGTACACACCCAACACCCCGTCCGCACTAGACCACTACCCGATCGTACCCGACTGCTCCTAGCTGCTCGACCGTTTCTAGCTCCTGCCATGGCGTTCGCTAGAGTTATGCAGTAGAAGGGCCAGCTGTAGCGACAGCACCTGCAGCACTCCTGGCGGGGGACCTGAGGGTCCAAGGAGTACCGGCCCTTGCAGTGGCTCAGCCAGCCGTTGGCGCGACGTCGGTCCCTGTGGGTACTCGATCCTGACTGGCCCTGGTGCTGGCACTACGTGCTGGCGTCCTGGCCCTCTGGCACCACCACATAGGTCACCCGTCCTTCCCACATCCCAGTAGGATGGTACGTCACCGTCAGGTCACAGGTCTCCCAGAGTCTCTCGCCCTGCTTCCCCGCTCGCCTGCACCGCCATGCACCCCTCGCGTCGAGTGGCGGCAGCGCGCTGCCCCTCACTCCTCCTCGTTCCCCCCCACCACGGCTCCCTTACAGACCCTTCACTTGGACTTCTGGGTGTTATAGTTTGTTTGTTTAGTCTAGGTGTTACACTGAGTTATGCTGCAGAAAGTACAACCCCCTTTAGAGTTTGCTATATGTTTCCTTGTACTGCTTGTTGCTACTCATTCATTCTTCCGTTCTTACTATGACATTATATAGAGCTTAGTTCGTTCCAACGGGCCCACCACCCCGCGCCTCGGCCATTAGCGGCCCGTAGCGCCCTCGCCGCCCCGTTGGCTCATTCATTTTAGGGTTTCGCTCGTAAGCCGCCCGTGCGCCATCCGTTTGACGTCCGTTCTCCTCCTGTTCGCCACTAGTTCGCCGCCCGTCACCCGCTACCGCGCCCCGTTGCCTAGGCTGCCCCGTCGCCCGTCTCCTAGGTCGCACCACGTCACCCCGTCTCCCAGGTCGCGCCCCGTCACCCCTTCACCTCGTCACCCCGTAGCCTTGTCATTCCGTCACCCCGTCACCCCATTTCGTCGCCCCTTAGAGGCCCCAGCGGGCCCCATTTCATCGTCCCTTAGAGGCCCCCGCATGCCCCGTTTCGACGCCCCTTAGAGGCCCCGCGGGCCCCGTTTTGTCGCTCCTTAGAGGCCCCCGCGGGCCCCGTTTCGTCGCCCCTTAGAGGCCCCCACGGGCCCCGTTTTGTCGCCCCTTAGAGCCCCCCGCGGGCCCCATTTTGTCGCCCCTTAGAGGCTCCCGCGGGCCCCGTTTCGTCGCCCCTTAGAGCCCCCCGTGGGCCCCGTTTCGTCGCCCCCTTAGAGCCCCCCCAAGGGCCCCGTTTCGTCGCCACTTAGAGGCCCCGCAGGCCCCGTTTTGTCGCCCCTTAGAGGGCCCCGCGGGCCCCGTTTCGTTGCCCCTTCGAGGCCCCCGCTGGCCACGCAGACACAAGCAGCTGCCAGAAGGCCCCACGGCCTTTAGCTAGAAGCCCCGGGGGCATGAGCTAGAAGGCCCCACATCCTCCAGCTAAAAGCCCCCGCCCCACCCCCCACTCCCACCCCCCCCCGCTCGGCCGTCTCTAGCTCCCACCATGGCGGCCCCTAGAGTTCTGCCCCCTGCCCTCCACAGCAGTTCATTCGGGTAAGCTTAGGAAGAAGTGTGTTCGGTAAGCTTAGGAAGAAGTCCACCGGGTCCATGCCGTGCCTGTCGCACCGATATCTCACGTTTCCCACTTGCATCAGATAGTTCTTGAGAGTTGGCCCCGCGCGTTGATCTCCTGAGCACCTAGCGAGTACTTCTACTCGCAGCGCGGTGGCAGAACTCCCTCGCCCTTCTCCCCATGATTCACTCGCTCCTCATGGCCGCCTTCCATCCGTTCCTCTCTCCTTGGCCCTTTCCATTCCTTCCCTGGCCTCTCGGGCCCGTTCCGCGCCATACGCCAAACTTCTGCCCTCCGTTCTTCTCTCCTGCTGATTCCATCTCGTCTCGCTGCGCCTCTCCCTCGGGCCCCTCCACTCCTCTGCCTGCTCCCATTGTCAAGCTGGCGAGTTGTACGCCTTCTTCCATCCTCCTTGGCTCGTCTCGTGCCGTCGCTGTCTTTCCGGCGAAGGTGACCACGCGTCTTCCCTCCTGCCACGCTGTCGGTGGTGCTCTGGTGAGCGCTTCTCTCTCTGCTAGCGGCGCATGTCTGGCGACCGGGACCCACCGCTAGTCCTCCTTTCTCGCTGCCTATCTCGGCCAGGCGAGCGTGCTCCGCCGCTGCGCTCCCCTTGCTGCTGACCATGCCGCTCCTGTGACCTGGGCTCCTTCTCGCGTCTCCCTTCCTGACGCCAGTATCGATCAGGTGAGCGTGGCTCATCCTCCCATTTTCCTCCGCGTGTCTGACGCCGATCCGGCGAACGTGAGCCGCCGCCGCTCCAGCCTCCAGGCTTCTGACGCCTATCGGGCGAGCGAGAGTCGCCTACTCGCCGCCCTCTGCGCCGCCGATCCTCTTCTGGCGTGCGCGACCGTTCCGCCCTCCCTTTACCACGATGTCCTTGCAGCCGGGAAGTGCGGGTGCTCTCATCCTGGTCCCTTCGTTCCTGTTGAAGTGAATCCTCCGCGCGGTACCCTTCCCCGCAGCTGATGTCTCGCCCGCGCGAGTCCTTCCGCCTGGACATCTATCCCTCGGCCACCGCCTGGCTCGCGCCAGTGTTATTGTCCGCCTATGCGGGTTCGGCCTCGCCAGTTCCAGCTGCTGGGTCGTCTCCGTCGTTTTCTCCCTCGGCGCCCTCGACCTGCAGCTCTCGGTTCTCATCGTCCGCTTCCGCATCCTCCTCATGGGCCGCCTCCTTCTCCGTGATCGGCACCAATGTCGCTGCCGTTCCTCCTCACGGCGACTGAATATCCTACCCCAGCGCAGCTCGTACTTTTCCATGGCTGCTTGCTTACGCTTGTCTTCTGTTATGAGAGAGATTGATCCCTCACCCCACAGGTTCCTTCTTAGTGGTGTGCCACTGAATGCTAGAGTTTAGAGTGACAGCCTTCACTTGTCCGAGAGAATAACAGAAATCAAGCATCGAGTGGGTGAGTGTGAGTGGCCTTACTTGGCCCAACCCCATGCTGCACATTTCCCAATGTGCTGCTCGGGGTTGCGATTTGGTTTCCCATTTCGCCCCTCGGTGCTTTCCCCCGTAATCCCAACCGTCCCTTTTCAGTTTCCCCCTTCTTTAGCTATTACAACAGTCACTACACTACATTCTACGCCCCATACTAGTGTTGCTGTGTATGCATAAAGTGCACATACGCTTACACACTATACTACCTCCTACACCCTTATACTACCGTTACTGCATTTACGTAACGTGCATATGCGGTGACAGATGGCCATTCCCACCGCAAACATCAGTTCAGTGCCCACTGATACATCGAAGTCCTTCGACTATGAGATTCCACACTTCTTTCTAATTCTGGTCTCCTGCTCTCCTCCCGGCAGTAGATTCAGTTCTATGGGTGTTCGGGTGCAAGGCATCCATTTTGGTTCCCCTCCTTCTGCCGTCATCACCAACATTTCCTTCGCCACCTACCTTTCTGGGGCCATCAGCCCCAGCCTTTCAGCCATCCCTTTGTCCAGCATCACACTCTGCGCTCCCGTGTCTATAACAGCAGTTTTCACCTTCACCCCTTCCACCTCCATCGCTCCTCCTTCCATCAGTAGCACTGAGGTCTGACACGCAACCTTTCTTGTGGATGGCGTGCTGGCGGCTGCTCCTGCGCTGGCCCCTCTGGTTATTGTCCCTTCTTTCGTTCCTTCATGCCATGCTCCTGCCTCCCATCCTTCCCTCCGCTTCTCAGCCCCATCTCCTCCCTTCCCCTCCACGCCATGAGGGCACACTGCACATCCTGTTCCACCACCTCTCCTTCCTCATCCCTGGCGTACATCCCTGCCTTAGCCTCCCATTTTGGTCCCAAGGCTTGCAGTTGAGACTGCAGTCTGCTAATCTGCCGCTGCAGCTCCTCTGGGTTTCTCCTTGCCCCTCCCTCCCTCTAGTAGCATTCCTTAGCCTCGTGTCCTCTCTTCCCACAGATCTCGCATCTTGCTGCATCAGGACATTCTCGCCTTCGATGGCCTGGCTTCCTGCAGCCACCACAGTTCTTGTAGTCCTTACAAATGTGCCCCGCCTGTCCGCACCTGTGGCACGTCCGTGTGTCAGCTCTTGCTTCCCCCCGAATGTCTGACCTCCAGCTTTCTTGAGGTATCATCGCTGCCGCCCAGGTCGGCTTGCGGCTTCTCTCTATTGGCTTCGGTAAATATGCTTTGTACTTCCTCTGTGCGAGCTCCACCTTTGCTAACTCAAACACTTTATCCAGTGTCACGTCTGCTCCCAACTCATATACCCTCATCCTCAATCCGCCCCCCAACGCCTCATCTAGGCCCCCCAAAAGCTTGTTGATGAAGAGACTGCTGTCCGAGCACTTCACGTCCTCTGGCACGTTGATCGGTCGGTTGTAGTACATCACCAGTGACTCTGCTGCCCTCTTTTGAAGTCTTGAAACTCCCTTATTCGCTCCGCCGTGTGCCCTGGAAACTGCCGCTGTAGTCGCTCAAGAAATTCCTCCGTGGGTTCCTCCCCATATTTTCCTACCCTCCATACCAGCTCATCCATCCTCATCCGGTACAACGTCGTTGTCTCCCCTTCCAGCGTGTTTGATAAGCTCAAGAAGAAGTATACCGGGTCCATGCCGTCCCGGTCACACTGATACTTCACGTTTCCCACTTGCATCAGATAGTTCTTGAGCGAGGGCCCTAACCGTTGATCTCCCAAGAACCTGGCCGGCACTTCCACTCGCGGTGCCGTGGCCGCGCTCCCTCGCCCCTTCCCCCAAGATTCGATCGCTCCTCTTGACTGTCTCCCCTACGTTCCCCTTTCCTTGGCTCTCTCCATGCCTTCCCTGGCTTCTTGGGCTCGTTCTGCGCCATACGCCAAACTCCCGCTCTCGGTTCTACTCCCCAGCCGGTTCCATCTCGTCTCACTGTGCAGATTCCTAGGGCTCCTTCGTCCTTCTGTATGCCCCCATTGCCGAGCTGGCGAGCGGTACGCCCTCTCCCATTCCTCCCGTCGTGTCTCGCGTGGTCAATGCCTCTCTGGCGAGGGTGGACATTCGTTCGTCTCTCTTCAACGCTTCCGGCGGCCAACTGGCGAGCGCCTCTCCTTGTCACGTCTCCCTTCCTACTGGCGGCGCAAGTCGGGCGAGCGTGACTCGCGACTAGGCCTTCTCTCCTGCTGCTTCTGCTGACGAGGCGAGCGCGATCCACCACTGCGTCGTCCTTCCTGCTGCCAATGCTGCCCGAGACCCCGTGCCTCGCCTCCCTCCTAGCTACGGATGGCGATTGGGCGAGCGTGGCTCGCCCTCTCGCCTTCCTCCACACGGTTGACGCCGATCCGGCGACCGTGCCCGGTCGCTGCGCCATCCTGCCCGCGGCTGACGTCCCACGGGCAAGTGCGAGTCTTCATCTCACCGTCCCACTGGTCGCCGATGCCCTTCAGGCGTGCGCAACCGCTCTTCCCCCCTTCTTCCGCGTTGTTCGTACGGCTTGGACACGCAGGCGTCTTCCTCGCAATCCTCTCGCTCCTGCTGAGCCGAGTCACCTGAACGGTGCCCTCCCTGACGGCCGAGGTGCTCCTCGCGTTGTTCCTTCCCCGTGGCCCTTGATCCCTCTACCTCTGCCTCGCACGCGCCTGTGGTCTAGTCTGCCAGCGCGGGTTCAGCTTCGTCGGCCTTAACAGCGTCGTCGTGCTCTCCGCCTTCGTGTTCGTCCTCCACGTTTCCTTCGCGGGCCTCCTCTCGTGCCTCATTCCCCGTTGGCGCCAGGATCTCCTCCTCGGCTGGAGAGAAGTCCCCCACGACCACGCCAGCGGCCTCCGTCGTCGTGGCGCTGTTCTCTCCCTTCCGGCGCGCAGAACACTCTGTCGCCATGGTGGTGCCCGTGGTTGCCGCCAGCTCGGTGAAGGGCGTCTCTCTGCCACAGCGCATAGCCTCCAGTCATGGTGGACCCCTCACCGCTTGCTCCTTCGTGAGTCGAGCCTCCTTCCCGTTGGTCTGGCTCGAAAGGGATTCGATCCGCGCAAAAAGCCGGCTTCTTTGGCGATCGCTCCAAAGATCGCCCACGCTCACATGAGTGCTCGCGTTGCGGCCGTTCTTTCTCCCGGCGACTAAAGATCCTACCCCAACGCAGCTCATACTTGTCCATATTCTCTGAAGTACGGGCTTGTGTTCTGTTATGGAAGAGATTGCTCCCTCACCCCACAGGTTCCCTACTAGTGGTGCGCCACCGAGTGCTAGAAGCTAGAGTGACATGTTTTACTATTACGAGAGAATAACATAACACAAGCATCGAGTGCAGGAGACTGACGTAAGGGCGTGAAAAATCCCCGCACAAGTCTGAAAATGGGGTGTGGCCGGTTTTTAGACGACCATATGGTCGTCATATTTTTTTCGCAAAATTCGACTTGGTGGCCGAATCCGAGTCGACTCCGATACAGCCACCATTTACAAAAGCGCGAATTTTACATGTTTGCTGGCCGATTTGCTGGCCGGTTCCGGAAAGTTGTAAAATTTGCATTGTTCAAAGTGGGCGACAAATTCGCACACATGATTCCAACGTCGTCATCGTCGCATGGAGGGTGTGCGACACGGCCAGTCAGTGTCGCAACGTCGGGCCGGGTTCGTGGCCGTTTTGGAGTCGACTCGGCGTCGTTTTCGTGTCGATTTTTTAAACGGCCATCAAATTCGTTATTTTTTTGCGAAATTGACGACTATCGCGACTCGAAATACGAATGTCGCGGACTGGTTACCTTCGCAAAAACGGCCCGACGGATTCTGGCCGAAATTTTAGAGTTGTCGATTTTACACGCCCTAATTTACCTAGCCCAGGTACGGGCCGCACATTTCTTGATGTGTAGCTCGGGCTTGGGAGTCGTCGATTTCATTTTGACTCTCTCATTTCGCCCCTCAGTATTTCCCCCCCATTCCCTAACATCACTTTCTGATTTCCACCCTCTACTCCTAATACAACATTCACTACACTACATTCTACACATGCATCCTACTGTTATTGCATGTGCATCAAGTGCATATGCGGTAACAGCTGCTGCAAACTTCTGCGAGTTGCCTCTTGTGAAGAATGGGTCTGTTTTGTAGTCGTGGGTGAATAGGCGTGTGAGTTGCAAG